TATATATATATATATATATATATATATAGTTTTGGGAAGATGAAAGCTATTTTTTTTCTTTTTAATTAAAATTTTTGATTTTCCTATTTTATTCATTTTGTTTTGGGAAGATGAAGGCCATTTTTTATTTTTTAATTAAAAAAAATGTAATTAAATAATTAAAATCTCAAAACTGAAATTTTAATATATTTTATCTAATGAATTTGGTTAATTTTTTATAAGTTGTTTTATCATTTTTGAAAGCTCACGCGTGACCTGACGCATCTGCGCAGCGCGTGCGAAGATCTCGTGCGCCGCCCGCAGCGCCCCATGTTCTTTGCGCGCATCTGCCAGTGCCATGTTCTCCACGCGTGTCTGTCGGCACCTGCGACATCCTCGCACGACCTACAGCGCCCCGCACGCATCCGCGTCTGCCCTGTGTGCGGCCCAGGTCCATGCGAGTAGCCCACGGGCCCAGCAGCGCCTAGACCAGGCCGGGTGGCACCCGGATTTAAAGCCATTTGAGCAAAATTTTCATATAAATCACTATCACCAAAACTAAATGGAAGAGATGAGGCAGAAACAAATTCAGCTAAATGATGTCTATGATTATCATGCGAGTAATGAAAAAAAGATGGCGTACCTGTACCAGTGTCGGATGCAGAACTGCTGCTGGGGAATTGCGTCTGTGCCATGTCGATTCCCAACGTATGCGGGTGACAACTCTTTAGGTGTCGAGCCAAGGATCCGTACCCATCGCCTTTTTTGAAATGATACTTCTTCTTGTCGTTAGACGGACAATAGTTGCAGACTGCTAAAAAATAATTCGGACCTTTTTGCGGATTTGGGATCTTCTTGTAATGTCGTTGGAAGATGTCGGACCCCTTATTGCCACCCCTACCCGGACCACGACCATAGACAGAGGATGGGTGGTGCATGTCCGCCTCAGGCTGCGTCTCTTGCTGGATCTCGTCCGGGCTCGTTCCAAATAGATCATTTAAATGGTCGTGATAAGGCTGCTGCTCGGCCTCTTGCTGTCCGGACTGAACTGAGTCAAACAAGACTTCTATTGTTGCTTCATCAATATCATTTGGGACAGAAGGAATATTAACATATACAGATGGACTGACAAATTCAGGATGTGGAGGTACTGAAGAAGACGTGCCGACATTTCTCCGTTTATTTCCGGAAGTCGAACCACGACCACCACCACGAGAAATTGACATTTTTTAGTATAAAATAAAAAATGTAGAATATGTATAAAAAATAATTACAATAAAGAAAATATAAAATATAAATTTAATATAGATTATAAAGTTCAAAATAAAAGATTTTTTATGTATATTTTTTTTTTGTGTATATATATAAATATATATTTTTTTGATGTACATATATAAATCGAGCTTTTACCAAAAAAATTGAGAGAAAGAGAGAGAAGAGATTAGAGAGAGATGAGAGAAAGAAGGATGTTGTTGGTGTGGAAAATGGGGGAGGGGGGGTATTTATAGATTTTTTTTAGGATTTTTTTT